GCAGCACCTTCAGAATCAAATTGCAAAGGTACCCATTCCGACCTGTGAGGAAATGAAAGAAGAGATAATCCCCTTCGTAGAATTAACTCAACCAAATTGCGAACTCGAGGTCATTCTCGACGAGACGGATCAGTTGAGCTCCAACAAAGGAGGAGAAACCGCTTGCCTGTACAATGTCCCCATGCCAGGTGGAGCCGCACCCCCTAACCAACAGAAGAGTGTGCAGGAGAATTGCCCTACCCGAGTGACTTCTCCAGTTGGAGGACAGCGTAACCACCGTGGAGACTCACACGGAGAGACAAATCACCCACACCTCGCCATAACATACAATACAGTGACCACTACGGGGGCCTGGACAAATGCCCCTGAGAGGGGCCCCCCAAGGCAAACCCCCCTACAAAAGAACAACATACCAAATGGAAACGGAGGAAGAAGGGATCCCCCATTTGGTGAACACCCCATGAAGAAACAGACTCAGCATGAAAGCAACTACTTCGAAAACCTAGCCAACGCGCGAAACATCCTTTTGGCAATACAGATTGTACTGCTTCACCTGGCGGAGGAGCACCCGAATGGTTGTCTTGAAGATGGTCCGCCTCACCCATGCCTGTCATCCCGACTCAACGAGCTAACCCTTACACAGCTATCCCTGCTGCACAGGACATATGCGCTGTGCTCCTCCTACATCGATTCTTCCCTGAGTGCGCAGAGGAGCTTGAACAATCAGAGGGTCACTTCCTCGTCGAGACTCCACAAACAGGTCATGTCCATCCTGGCGCACGTGGTAGGGAAAGAAGCGGAACAGGAGAGCATCAGCGGTGCATCCGTCATGTAACGTCCTTCCGTGTTATCCAAACATGTACTCTCGCCGCTTACCCCTTCCCTTTACGTCCCCCTTTTTGCAGCATCCCCAAGGCGAAATCCTAAGCGAGTTCGTCCATCACCCCTTCCAAGTGGACATATGCCTCGGGAGGAAGCCCTGCTAACGTGATGTCCCCCGTGAAGACGAAGGGGCATGTCCACAACCACCGCCATCCATAGGAATCTCCATCACCGCCATCCATAGGAATCTCCATCACCGCCATCCATAAGAATCTCCATCACCTCCCTCCACACGCATATCATTCCTCAACAGATGCCCAGTGACAAAGATCACAGTTCTAAAATGAAATCATCCAAAATGGGAAGAATAGAAAAAGCGGTCTGTTAAAAAAAAAAATAATTCATCACACAGTTAAGAGGCACTTTTTTTTTGGCGCATATGCTGGCTGATCCGAAGGGTGTTCTGGAGGTGACCAGCCGGAAGAAGCCAACCACGTCTTGTGCCAACCACGTCTTGTGCCAACCGCCTCCTGTCTCAGCCGCTACCCTATGCTTCTTTATGCTACCCCCTACTTTTCCTTCTCTTCTTGTCCTGATTTAGACGTACCTCACCAGGGCTGCTGGATTTCCTTTTGCCTCTCTGTGGAGAGGGGCTCCTTCCCTCGCTAGTCCGCCCATTTCTGGTGCTGTGCGTCTGCTCCGTGGTCCCCGAGCGTCTAAAGTTGTAGCGGCTGCTTCTCCTGTGCGGTCGCTCGGTGGTGTGCGCACCCAGGGGGGTTCGTGCGCCTGGGGAGTCGTCATCTAGCGGGTCGTCATTTAGCTGTCTCTCATTGGCCGGGTTGTCATTTGGCGGGTCGCCGTTCTTTGGGTCACCGTCCGTTGGGTCACCGTTCGTTGGGTCGCCATTCGCGGGGTCGTCATTTAGCGGATCGCCATTTGCGGGGTCCCCATTTATCGAGTCGCCGTTCGTCGGGTCATTCCCTGCGCCTTCACCCTTCGCCTTTTCAATTATCTCCCGCTCTTTCACCCCGTCGCTGTGTAGGGCTTCCCCTCTCGCTTCATCTTTCGCTCCCTCTTTCGCTCCCTCTTCCGCGTCCACCCCTGAACCGATTAGCTGCAGAAACTCCACGTTGGACAGATTCTCCTCGTCCATGAGGTGCACGTTAATTTGCCTGCGCGTCCTCTTGAACTCCACCTCGATCCCGTCGTCTGTGTCATCGTAAAAGAGATACGACGGAAGTTCGTCCCCGTTTACAAGCTTCTTACTTTTTATTAAAACCTTCTCGATTTCGCTTTGGTTTTCCTCCTTCAAAATGGCGCTGCGTTCTTCCGCCCAGGACGGTGCTTCTCCTATCCGCGGTTCATCGGGAGGCACTTTTCCGCTTTCCACTTTTCCGCTTTCCACTTTGCCGCGTCCCACGTCGCCGATTCCCATTTTGCCGATCCCCACTTCGCCGCTCCCCACTTCTCCGCTTCCCTGTCTGCCGCTTTCCTCCCCCTCGTCCTCACTCATATACGTGAACTGCGCCACGTCGGGCTTCTCCCGATTGAGGCTTTCCAGATGGGTGTAGAACTCCGAGCCGAAGTACCTCTCATCGAATTTGAGAAAATACTTTAACTCCACATCTGACCTCTCCATGTAGTAGTTGAGTAACAGTGGGTTGGTTGACTGGAGCGTCACTTGTCCCTTCTGGCTCCTCTGGAAGATATTCTTCAGCTTCTCCTTCCTGTCCTCATCACTGTATATTCTGTTAAATAGACCTGCCTGTATGACCTTGTCGTTGATGGTTAATTTATCCTGCGCCTTCTGGAAAATGAGCTCTTCCACTCCTGAGAGAGTGATGAATCGGAAGACCTTGACGACGTTCTTTTGTCCAATTCGATGACACCTACACATGGCTTGTATGTCTTGGTGCGGATTAAAGTCGCTGTCGAAGATGATCACTGTGTCCGCTGTCTGGAGATTCAGGCCCAGACTCCCAGAACGGGTAGACAGCATGAAAATCATGGTTTCGTCGTGGCCCCCGTTTGGCTCGTCCAGGGGGTCACCCTCAGCCGAATGGGCCGGGTCTCCCCCGGAGTAGCTAGTTTCTGTGGCTTCCCCGGTCTGGTCTACACCCGCTTCGCTAACTGGGGCGCAAGTCACCTCTCCATTTACACCATCCGGCTCATCCGCGACATCCGTTCCATCTGTGCCAACCCGGTTGAACGTCTCGATCATCTTCCTCCTCTCCTGAAGACCGATGTTCCCATCGAGGCGATGGAAGCGGTGTCCCCGGTAGTCCAAATAATCGCATAGAATATCCATCAGCTTCGTCATTTGGGAGAAAATCAATGTCTTGTGACGAAATTTGAGCAACTTTGGCAGCATCCTGTCGAGAACCTCAAATTTGCCACTGCACTTGATTAGGTACTCATCGATGTTATATTCTTCGAGGAAGAGATACGGATGATTCACGACCTTCCTCAGTTGCATCACCATGTTCTGACAAGACTTGTTGCTAATGGAGCCATTCTTATTAATTTGAGTGAACCCCTTCATCTCCATCTGCCGGTAAAGCATTTTCTGGTACAGAGACAGATCTATGTGTACATTGTACTCGTACTTCTTCGGTAGTGACTTCAACACGTCTTTCTTCACTCTCCTCAGCATGAAGGGGAGAAGGACGCTGTGTAGTCTATTTATAATTAGAAGCTGTTCCTCCTCTGTGATGACCACGTCTTGTAACTCCTTATCATTATGTAATGGTCGGATAAACCATCGCTCGAAATCCTCACAGGAGGAGAAGATCTTTGGCAAGAGGAAGTTCAGGAGGGACCATAACTCAGACAGATTGTTCTGTAGAGGGGTTCCGGTCAGCAATACCCTCTGCTTGCTTTTAAAATCTTTTAAAATGAGATGGAATCTCGATTTGCAGTTCTTCATTCTGTGTCCTTCATCCACTACTATGTAGGTCCAGAATATTTTTAGGAGAAGTGCCTTTTCCTTGATAGCAAAATCGAAGGTGGTCAGGCAGATATCATATTCTGATTCGAGCAGCTGTTTTGCTAGTCCCTTCCTTTCACATTTCGTTCCTTTGTAAGTGATGACCTTGAGGGCGGGACACCACGCTTCGAATTCGCTCGTCCAATTTGGCAATGTCGACAAAGGAACTATGATCAGATTCTTCGGTTGTTTGTGTCCCCCCACACCAGGAGGTGCCTCATTCCCAGAGGATATTCCTCCCCATTTAAACTCCTTCAGGTAAGCAAACAGACTAATCGTTTGGATTGTTTTCCCCAGACCCATCTCGTCTGCCAGAATGCCATGTAAATTGTTATTGTACAGGGAGATGAGCCATTCTAACCCCTCCAGTTGGTACTTCATTAAGGTTCCTCCGATCAAGATCGACGGCTGTACCACTTTCTCTCTAACCGAGTGGGACACAAGAAGGTACTTCTCCCTTGCATCTTTGTAATTAGACTTCATAGCAATGTTCGCACTGTTCGAATGATGCGTTGAATCCATTTCATTCGAACCGATTGATGAGGGTTCATCCCGAGATGGTACATCAAATGGATTGTCCTTCTTCTGGCACAGCACACATGATGACATATTAGTTAAGAACTCTTCCGTCACGTCTAGCATTTCCTGCAGCCGTTTGTTTTTTGTCTTTCTTAGCAGATTCATGTAAGCATCCATATCATTTTCCTTGAGCAATCTCAAACGTTCCTTTTCTTCCCTCTCGATTATTATTTTCCTCTTCTTCTCGATTAACTTCATTTGATTGTAGCATTCATTGGCAAGCATATGGGCGTTGCTCCTTCGTTGGTCGGACACCACCCTCACGGTGTGATGGTGTCTTCTCAGCTCATTCCAGTTAGAAAGTAAAATGTATTCTTTGATAGTTCCCACTTCATTGTGCAGTTTGGAATTGCTCTGCACCTTCTTTATGTATTCATTCAGGTGGTTCCTCCCCGCAAGGTTGCCTCCCCCCATGGGGCTTCTATTCCTCTGAGAGTACCCCTTCGTCCAACCTTGTCGCCTCCTCCGCTTGGTTCCCCCCTCCCCATGCGAGGCATTGCCGCTTTGCTTGGCGGGCCCCACACGTTTTGTACTCTGCAGAGATTTGTATGCAAAGGGGGTGGAGGTAGACGTGATGATTCCCGACGTGGTGATTCCCGATTTGATCATGCTCGACCTGGCTTCTCCCGCACACAACCGATTGACACTCTTAATGGGAAGCTTCATCGGGTGAGTATCACTGATGATGTGAAAACCGAACATCGAGTTAACCACATCAGATCGAAGCCTCTTCTGACTTAGTGCGATCATCCTGGCATTTTCTTCATTCTCTAGAAAGATCTGTATCGCCTCTATGGATGCATCAGACCTGTCCCTTCTCCCTTTATATGCCGAGGGAGACTTCCTAATGGCTCGTTTCACTCGCTCCAAGTAGGGAAGATTGAAGCGACTCATCATGTCGTGCTTTATACACAGATCGCTGAGGTATTTAAAATAGGCGTTCTTCGATCGCTCTAACTTTTTCATTGTACGTAGAGACTCCTTATCAAAATGCAGCTTCTCCAGGATGTCCTCGTCCGACGTGCAGGGGCTGTTGTCGGAGGGGTCCTCTTCCGAAGAGGAATTGGAAAAGAGGCTGCTGCTGTCGGATGAGGTGCCGTTGCGGTGGGGGGATTTTTCCCCCGTAGTAGCCTCCACTGTGGAAATAGCAGCAGTGTAGGTACCAGCAGTGGAAGCGCCAGCAGTGGAAGCTTCTCGTCCCCCCCTTCTGACGAGCCGCCTTTTCCTCCTCTTCATTCGGTCCCTATACCTCAAATACTTGAGATTTAATCCAATCTCCATAAACCTCTCTGCCTCTCCATTTTCGTTCCGAAAAAATTTCTCCTCGCATGAGCTGAAGAAATTCAGGTGTTCGTTTATGTAATCATTCAGAGCGGTGCTCACAAAGATCTGTTTGTCTTTTTTTATCCTAAGATGTTCGCTTACGTAGAGGTACTCCTCATTGTCTACCTCTCCCTCGGGTTCCTTCCGTTCATTTTCCCCCGAAGATTCTGTGTCACTCTTGTGCAGAGGGACAGGTGAGGTCAATTCGAATGTGTCACCATCTTGGTGGACTACTAACGTGGGAGTTTCTCCACCTTGGGGTATATTATCCTCTTTCGCAAAATTGGCAACTCCTGTAACATGTTCGTTCAATCTATCTGGAACCATCCCCTCCATGTGTAACTCACAGAAGGAAGAAGCTCCTTTTTCACCTTCACCAATTGGGTTTTTCCCCGATTCAGCCACATTTGGACGTTGCGTCGTATACCCATCTGCTTTGTCCATTGGTGGATTTACAACGGGGTTATATAGCACCTACTGGGAGTTGCTTATCTTGTCTATTGTGGGAGGAGAGCTCCCTCCAATTAGGAGCTGACAATGGGATTAAGTGGAGGTATGGTTGGTTGACCAACGGGGTATGTTCATCGGGGAACGTAACCCCTAATGATGGATACTCCTTCTTTTTTCAACAAACGGGGCAAGGAAGCCGCACGAGGGGAAAGAAAAAAAAAAAAAAAAACAAAAAAGAATAAGCAGAAATAGGAATAATAGGAAAAAGGCTGCTTTGTCCTTTATTACACCTCGTAGTAGACCACCCCTCACTTCTTTTTTTTTTTTCTCTCCACCGTATCACCGGAGCATATGCGTGTGTGTAGAGATGGAATGAATCGCTTTGAATTGACTGAGGAAGCCTACCCTGCGTCCTGCCAATCGCTGTGATGACTTAGCTAGGTAATTTTTTCCTTTTTTCATTTCTACCCTTCACAATTTAACGTAGTTTTTTTTTTTTTCCGGGGAGGGGGAATCTTATCTAAGTGAACGTTCAGTAGGCATGACCGCGGATTCATAGATATGATGTACATACCGCTGGATGTGCAAAGCGGAATGAGGATTAACCATTACACATATGTGAAGAAAGGGGGTGGGGGGGAATTCCCCCCCTCATGAGTAGATACACAACACAACGGCCTCCACAGTGTGTGTGTGTGTGCACAGTTTAAGTAGCCATGGGGGGGTGACTCACCAATTGTAAGCTGAGATGTTAAAAAAAAAAAAAAAAAAAAAATTATTCTGGACCTCGAAAGGGTCTACAAATTTTGCTGTCCAATGTGCACAGCTGAACAGACCATATTGAAAAATGGGGACGCTAATCGGGCAGAGGGTGGGGGATTTATTTTCCTTCCTCAATCCCCCTTCAATGTTCCCTCTAAAAAGGCAAACACGAGGCCATCACATAAGACGTCGCACAGTTGCATATAACCCCTCTTATGTAAAAACACATATGTGTATCCATACGTGGGTCTCTCCCCACTTTGCAATTTTTTTTTTTTTTCCTCTTTCACAACATTCGGTTAGGAACCACTTTGGGACATTGACCCGTTTGACCCGCAATAACTATTTTGTAATCCCTGTGTGGGTTGCACCCAAGATGGGGTCAGTTTAAAGTGGCGTTCGCATCACTCAGAGTGGGAAACACTTTGTCCCAAGGACTCTGTCCTGGAGACCCTCTTTTTGTGAATATTTTGCCTCGCCACTTTTCTTCCCAAGTGTGCATACAAAACGGTCGCTCCTTCCTCGCGTCAAAGATTTACCCTTCATTTCATCAAATCGGAATGGCAAGAGAGAGAAAAAAAAAAAAAAAAAAAGAACATAAAAATTTCTTAAAAGAAACTCCTCAGCATCGTCAAACTACTCATAATGTACACACCACAGGATCCACACAGGGGGATATATGATCGTCGCTTGCCTCCAACTCTGTGCCTCCCCTTTTTTTTTCTTCTTATGAGAGCCATCCCACAGAATGAAACCCCTAAACATGGGGGCCATTCTTTTGGCGTTTTATAGGTCCTTCTTCGTCTTCCTGGTAGGGGGAGGGGGCAAATGGTCCCCAGAGTGGTGCTTAGCCAACGTTTCGAACAGCACGTCACCCAACGTGTCAACGACGCAGCGTTCAAACTGCCCCACAGAGCATCGTTCCCTCCTCCGCCCCGTTCAACAGACATACGCCCTAATTCTGCAGTCCATGTACCTCTGCTCCAAGTTCATCTCAACTTTTTCGTAAACACGAATCTTTGTCCCGAGCCCGACAAGGGGGGCAAACAGGAGACACAGTATATGAGACAACTCCGAAAGAATCGCACACACAGAGGACTCACACATGTCCGCATCGTTCCACCGCATTGATCCATCACATCGTTTTTTCTTTCTTTTTTTCAAATTCTGTGCTCCTTATTTTTCCCCCCCTATGTCAGAGCAAAAGGACGGGTGTCCTTGCATGCCTCCTTCTGGTTCTGCGCACTTATGACTTTGTGGTGCCACGTCAAATGCCTCATTAAAAACCCGGGGGTGTTAACAGGGGTGCCCCAAAAGACAGGTGTGCTGTCTGCGATGTGCCATTTTCAATGTGCCTTTGTCTGGTGGCCACCCCTTCTTTTTTTCATTCATGTAAAAGTCACCTGTACATGTATGCATATCATCTCATTTTCTCCGTTCTTCCGTTCATTACTAGGGGAAGGAATCGACGACCTGCAGGGTCACGATGACATGTGCGTGAAGTGCAACTTGTTAAAGGAAAAGAGGTCTCACCACTGCTCTGTTTGCAACCGCTGCATCATTAAAATGGATCACCACTGTAGGGGGAGAGCGACGCTGGAGCGGCGTTCTACTAACGCGACATGCTACAGTGTCTGGCCGTGTGAAACCCCGAGAAGGTGATAGCGTCAGAACTGTAGCTTTCAACTCAAATGGAAGGGAACTACGTACGCGTTGGCGTAGATATAAGATCAAGCTGTGGACACACACATGCACTAGCTACAACATTAGCTATCTCGTTCATCTTATTGTTCGCCTTTTTCATTCCCCCCCCCGCCTCGCTATCTTCCTTCAAGGCATTTGGATAAATGGCTGCGTCGGACAGCACAACCAGAAATTCTTTATCCTCCTCAATTTCGTAAGTCCCCAAAATGTCGAGCTGGAGAATGCACACACGAAATGCGCAAAAAAAAAAAAAAAAAACGAGGCAGAAAAATGCTAAGTGGGTTATGTCGCTTAAGAAACGTTCCTTTTGTATCCCTTTATGAGTGCCATTCGACTAATTGGTCAGCTAGCTAATTTGTTAATTTTTTTTTTTTTTTTTCATGTGCATGGCTGGACACGGCAGTACACCCTGCTCATGTGCACCAATTGCGGCTTCATCGTTATGTACAAACTGATCTCGTGTGTTCGGACGAACCCAAGATTGAACACGGACAGGATGGTACGACACGAGGACGCTTAAAAATATGATCGCAGTCTCTGTGCGCAAGGCATATTTGTAGCGCGCTTGGACTTTATTATACCGCCTACTCAAAAATTCACATCTTTTTCCCCCCTTCTTTCAGTGCATACACAGCAAAACAGACCTCTTCCTCATCCTGGTATGCCTTGCGTTTCTACGCCAAAGAGTTTTCACCTTTTGTGCAGTTGTACGTATGTATGTGCATAGGTGGATTGGCCTGATGTGAAGTACCTCCCCCCCTTTTCTTTGTTTCCCCTTCCAGGTGAATACCTTCGGCTCCCTCCTTTTCGGGGTCTTCTCGTTCGTCATGTTGATCGATCAGTACGTCGCGATTAGGACGAACACGACAGGTATGTGCAGCGGAGGGAGAGTAGAACTGTGTCAACGTAGAAGTGTCTTAGCGTGGATGCACACTGGCACCGCTGCCCCATCCACGCAGGGATAGAGTACCTGAAGAACCAACGCAGAGAAATGAGGCCCTTCCGAGAGTCACTTCTGGATGTGTTTGGCCAGCCATTCGGATGCCTCTGGTACGAAGGCGATTAAAAGGGGAAGAAAAAAAAAAAAAAAAAAATATGCACATGTGCATCCAGATTTACATGCATACATACGTGTATGTGTCGCCAATTGAACTACCCTGCAGAGGGTCGCTCTCCTCTGATACAATCCTCTCCGTTGCACCTCCTTCCCAGGTTTCTCCCCGTCGATGGAACTGCGCACTCGGATTTTTCCTCACGAGAAAATTCCATTGAGGGAAAAAAAAAAAATTAAAAAGAAACATACAATTGTGTAAGCGCAACTGCGTCAGTACAATTACGAAAGCACTAATTGGTATCTACAGGTGCGCATGAACAGATGTGTGCATATGCCAACTCGGCTACCCCGCGCGTGCACCCCTGGACGGGCGATTCTTCACCCAGTCGAGGCATTTCCACTTGTCATGCGTTGTATACGCGGGCGCATTCGCGCCACTCAAACGTAATAATTTGAATTTAAGTTTGATTTTTTTTTTTGCTTTGTTTTTACTTTTTTTTTATACCGATATGCTTGTCTCAACGCGGGGTACACCTCCTTGTGTCTGTGATTTGGGGCATCCCTTTCTTGCAACTTTGCCTACTTGGCTCTACCCCTTCACGGAAAACGCTTGAATCACTTCTAATCACAGCACAAGCTATTCTTGCCACTGCGGAGGGTGAAAAGATACTCCCTTGATGGCAGCGACGCGGGAAAAAAACTCTTCTCAAAGAAAGGCGAGTCCCCTTTACCGTGTGCGGCTCAGTGTGAATTTTTTCTCCGCGCGTGTATGTTCGTGTGTGTCCACTCGGGTGTGCGCAAGGCCTGGCGTGTATTGCACACTGGTCATCTACAACGTTTAACTCCACATGGTGATCCCTCGGGCTTGTGTCAAGGGAAAAGGAAAAGGGCCCCTTTGCAATCCACTTCACATGTTTTCCCTATTTTGGTGATGCTCTTGTACCCATGAGTGGGGGAGCTACTCCTATCTGCAAGTTGCCGTGTCCGCCTTGACGCAATTGTAATGTGCACATAAGCGTTATGCGTATGTATGTAATGTTTTTTTTTTTTTTTTTTTTTTTTTTTTTCGTGCGTTGAGTTTCCACGCGTGTTCCGTTTCCTTCCGCCTTTTCAAAAGAGGGGAATTTATTTTCCCTTCCACATTACGGTTTCATTTTTCACTCTCTTGGCACGGCCACCCGATCGGCTGCTTAACCATGCCTTCCTTTTTAATTAGTAATGCCCCCTCCATTCACATTTGTTCCTAATGAGAGCATTCGTTCACCACTGAAGCACACGCACATTGTGTCATTTATGGGATGCCCATGTAATTTTTTTTTTTTTTATTATTCACACGTTACACTTCCGTTTTGATTTGATTTATTTGGCTCATTTAAAACGTATGGGCTTTTTTTTTATTTCTCTTTTTTTCCTTTTGGCCAATCTGCAGCGTCACATCTTGGGCCAATTATGTGTACATACAATTCGTACTCCGCGTAGAGCGTTTTGAAGCACACGAGTGGTCGATCTGTTTATTTTTATTTTATTTTTTTTATCATCAGTAGTGTTTTCCGTGGGGGGAACTCTTTCCGTGTGTATTTCCCGTGTCTGTTTCGCCCTCCCTTTGCCTGTCTTCTGCGGGAAGAGGATGGGTAGACCGACAACCCAGGGTTTTATCGTTCCACGCTGCTCACCACAGAAGCATACTATCTGACAACACGATGCATAAGCTGGCGAACAACGAAAGTGAAATAAACTCCGACGACTGCAACGAGACAGCGCAGGAGTGCATTTATGGGTTTAGCTCTCCGAAGAAGCAGAGGCGGAGTGGCAGCGACGACGATGATGGTGAAGGTGATGCCGACTGTGATACTTCTGCCAATTGCAGCGGCGGACGGAGGCACGCAGGCCAGGTCCAAAGGGATGGACCAGTCCAGATGAGCATTACGGGGCTTCAAAAAAATGAACAGGATTGCGAACCAGGGGGCAAGAATTACGCAGAGGAGGAAACGAATGATGAGTACACGGAGGAGAGCGACTACGATGAGGAGGCGGAGGAGGAGGACGAGGCAAAGAGGGGGTCGCAAAAGGATGGTGCAATACCGCACGAGAATGACGGAGTGTCCAACACGTCCAATGCTTCTCACGCATCGCTCGATTGGAACGGCTCTCACGACCCCGGAGATGACCTCTATGACGCAGAGCTGAACGAAATGATCGATCAGGAATACTTCAGAGAGCTCATCCCCGCCATCCCCCACGACACGCTGCTGGCATACATAACGTGTCTGAAGATGTTCGGATTCGAAAGGGAAGTGCAACTGCACCGATTGGTAAACCTACTGGGAGATCTAAGGGATCCCATTTCGGTCATTCAGGTGTTAGGCCTACCAGGCATGGGAAAAACAAAAGTCGTCAAAAGCTTCGTCAAGCTAAAGAACGTCCCGTTCGCGTATGTTAACTGCCTCATGGCTCTGTATCAATCTGGTAAATCCGCAAAGAATGTCATTTATCACACGATACTTAAGGAGCTGAGCACAAATCTGTTGCATGAATTTCAAGAATATAAGCAGTCAAATGGCTTCACAAATTATACGCATGATCCGACCAAGTTAGTTCCAAATCATGTGTCCAACACGGATGTCTTTTTTAATGTTCTTCATAAGCTGTTGTCCTTTCGGCCCGAGGACGGCAGGGGTGGGGGGGATGCCACTCCAGGGAAGAAACGCCGCCAGGGGGGGAAGCAAAACAGAGGTGGCGTCGGCGGTGTAAACGCATCGGAGGATCCGCTAAACGGGATGACACCTCCAAATCAGCATCTCCAGAAAGACAATTTGTACGACCGATCTGTGGTGATCATTCTGGATAACGTGCGGTATTTGGTGAGAACTCACCCAGATTTATTTTACGCCTTGACAAGAATCCACGAATATATTCGTGGCCCATATAACGACATGACCAAAGCGAACAAGACGACGAGAGGCCTCTGCATCATCCTAATCAATCGCTCCCCATTGCCGGACGAAATCTTTGATGGTCTACCTCAACCCCCAACGGTGTGGTTTGACTCTTACACAGCGGACATGTGCAAAAATATTCTCTACCGGCGTTACAACACCATGTGTTTCGAATCGCTACTCACATACAACGATAAGGATTTGAAAATCTACTGTGTGAAGGAAAACAAAAAGGAGTTTCTCATCAAAAGGAACGACGTCATTCTGGATAACGAAGTCATTTGCGACATCTGGTGTAGATACGTCGACTACATCATTAATGTGTCCTATAAAGATTATAAGAGCGATTTTCACGAGCTTCTTTTTATATGTGCCCACATGTGGCCTCTCTTCATAAAACCCATCCTAGAGGGAACCTTAGAACCAATTGTAGAAAATATGAACGCTCTACAAAGGAACATAGACACACATATTCGAGTGGCTACCTACAACCATGCTAGCCATTTTACATTCGAGCTAATCGATTCTGTTTTCTTGAATGAAAATAATTTGAAAAACAAAATCGACTTATCGTTCTATTCAAGAATTCTACTTGTGGGGGCATATCTTGCGTCAAGAAATTTACCCCTAACGGATAAACGCTTCTTCAATGCCACTGTAAAGGGGGGTGCCTTTACCCTACCCAAGAAGAGAAAGGGAAGGAGTAAAAATGAATCCATTTTAACCTTAATTGGTCAGGCCATTCCAAAAAATTTCACCTTCATTCGATGGATATGCTTAACAGATTGCCTCCTTGTGTGCTTCTTCAATGAGAAGTTAACACTCAACAGCCTTATCTGTCACCAAATAAATACCCTCATTCAGCTCGGATTTATCAGCTTCTGTTCTGCAAACAATATGTCTTGCTTGGTCCGGAACAGCTTAATGAATGGAGTGCAGTGGAGTGGCTACTGTGGCAGTGCGCTGCTAAACTCAACCAACAATTTTTCCTCTCTCGGAAATAATATCTTTTCGGAGAGTGCAAATTCTGTTTCGTACGAGTCGCTTGACCCTTATACGAAGTTGGCTATTCAGGTCCCCGAGGAGACCATCCGCAGCATCGCCAGGGATCTGAAGATCCCCCTCGACGAGTTGATTCTGTGACGGGAGAGCGGCGCGTCAGAGGAGGAGCGGCTACCAACAGGTGAGAAGCTCCCGGCAGGGGGCACCTCCCAACGGATGAGCACCTCCCAACGGATGAGCACCTCCCAACGAATCACCATCTTGCCAGGTGCGCTGGTCACACTCCTGGACTGCACCCCGGGGCGCCGATTTTTTCTTTTTTTTTTTTTCCTCCAACGTAACTTCCGTGTGAGTATGGCTTCCTTAATTCGAGATAAAACCGTGAAATAGGGTTTTGCGTCAGCGCATCAAAATGGTACAAAAAAAGAGAAAGTAAAAATAAAAAGAAAAACGAGAAAAGATGGGGGCGTGTGGGGGGACGACAACCTGGCACAACCCGCCTTAGCATCGCTTCTCTACTTCTCCACTTCCCCACCGCCGCTCCCCGCTACATATCCTCCAGCACCAGCTTCGGATATATAGCCATCGTCATGAGCTCCTGGAAGAGCAGCTTGCAGGCGTAGGGGATGTAGATCTGCGAAATGTTCGTCTTACTGTTGCAGACGGTACACTCGTAGGCGTTCTTGTTAATGTCGGCGATGCAGCAGAGGCCGCAATTATCGCAGACGTGGACACGGTAGGCGTCACTTTCCTCGAAGAGGCGCTCCTTAAGCATTTTGGCAGAGCCGTGCGAAATCATGCAGTCTCTTTCCATCTCCCCGAAACGTAACCCACCATCCCGAGACCGTCCCTCCGTTGGCTGTCTCGTAATCATCGTGAGAGGGCCTCTACTCCTAGCATGAATTTTGTCTTCCACCATGTGTTTCAATCTTTGGTAATAAGTCGGCCCAATGAAGATCTTCGATTTGAGCATTTTCCCGTTGTGTCCATTATACAGCACATCATTGCCGTACTTCTCATACCCAAGGCTGTGTAACCTTTGTGATATTTCCTGTACGGTGATTTTCGAAAATGGGGTTGCATCCCCTTCTCCGCCTTCTATCGCTGCGACTTTGCCAGCTAGACATTCTACCAAATGACCTATGGTCATACGGGATGGAACTGCATGTGGGTTCATGATGATATCTGGGAAGGTACCATCTGAGCTGAAGGGCATGTCTTCCGTTCGATACGTAATTCCGATGGTCCCCTTCTGCCCGTGTCGACTGGCAAACTTATCTCCAATTTGGGGGATACGTACTGAGCGGACTTTTACCTTAGCGAATTTATTGCCTCGGCTGTTGGAAGATAACATGACGGTATCGATCACCCCGTTTTCATTTTCTCGTAAGGCGAGAGAGCAATCCTTCTTGTACTGCTTCAATATGTTAGAGGTACTTATAGTCAGCGTTGGAATTTCTGAATCGTCCTTGGTAGACGCAGAAACGATCGTGGTTGCATATTGGGGACTATTTACACTGGATAGAGTATTTCCACTTCTAAAAATGGTAGTACTGCTCGGGGTGGAGGAAGCCACACTTGCTGGGGCCATCGCTGTCATGACTACTGCCCCGCTGGTGCTATACCGATCACTCATTGGCGAATCGGGGACAGAATCCATCAAATTGGAACTTCCAATCGTGGAGGGAGAATACGGACTGGAAACGCTCCCACAAACGCTTCCTGCACTTCCATTGAGCACGCTTCCTCCGGTCACCGAATCCTTCCCTGAGATAAACCCGTTCGAGGTAGACACACCAGAGTTATTATAACTCATCTGTAGATTGGGTACCTTCTTCTGAATCACTATATCATCCTCATCTTCAATGTTTGGAGACACTTTCCCGATAATGATGTCGTCTCCTAGAACCCGTATCCCTGGAGCGATTAACCCGTCGTTATCTAACTTAGTGTAATCTCCCCTCTTTAAATTTTTCACACTTCGGATGGAGGGCTTCTCAAACGATTCGATGATGAGACTCCCTTGTTGTTTCTCTTCACTCGTGTAGGTTCTATAGAATACACTTCTGAACAGACCTCGATCTATGGAAGACTGATTCATTATGAGACTGTCTTCTTGATTGTACCCTGTGTAGCACATGATAGCAACGATCGCGTTAATCCCTGCAGGGAGGTCTCTAAATCGTAGATACTCCATCACCTTAGTGCATACAAGTGGCCTCTGTGGGTAGTACAACAAATGGGCCAGCGTATCCAATCGAATGTTAAAGTTGGTGACGTAAATTCCCATGGCTTGCTTCCCCATGGCACTCTGGTACGTATTACGGGGGCTCTGGTTGTGGTCGCTAAATGGGATAATCGATGCACAGACACCTAAGATCAACGACGGGTGAATCTCACAGTGAGTATAATTATTATGGTACCCCGTCCCTGTCTTCAAATCATCGATAAACATACTAATCATAGTCGTTTCCTCCTCTTCGCAATCGATATACTCGATGATCCCTTCTTGGATGAGGTAATCCCAATTGTAGGTCTCCGGATACGCCATCATATTTTTCACATGTTCTTTGGTCAACTTGAGCTTGTTTTCCCCTTTGACATTCTTCACCACGTATAGAGGCCTCATGGCTCTTCCCGAATCGGTAAAGATTTTAATCTCCTTACTGTTGACGTCCCTTACGATGGAAGCTTCCGGAGATATGTCGCACCTCCTCCTTAACTCATACAAAGTCTCGATTAGATTATCAATCTGATTGAAACAGCCAACCCATTTTCCATTCAGGAACAGCTTCACCTTTTCCTTCATTAACTGGGGTGGTACTTCATCCAGCGATTCTAGACCCCACTCCAGCAGGAACTCGAAAATGTTGTTCGTGGAGGTACCCACACTTATGTCACACATTAGCGATAGGTTTTTTACGAGACCTACGGATTGACCCTCCGGCGTCTCGAAGGGGCAAATCATTCCCCAGTGGGTGTTATGCAGCTGCCTGGGTTTCGCCATCTTCCCTTCTCGACCCAATGGTGTGTTTAGCCGTCTCAAATGAGATAAGCATGACGAGTACGTCAATCGGTTAAGAACCTGCGCAACTCCCGTTCTTATCACCTTCCCGTCTTTGTCCTTTCCCCAATTGCCTGTAGCTAGCTGGTACTGCATCCCCTGCGTAATTTGCGAGCAGCTCCTAACCGCCCCCGCAACATCGAATGGCTTGTTATTATCGATCTGCCTCTGTAGAACCCGTTTCACATCTTTCGCCATTTTTCTAAAATAGGTGGAGAAGCTGCTAGCCATTAGAGGCCCTGCAATGTCCAGGCGCTTCTTCCCAAAGTGGTCCCGATCGTCTTCTTTAATTCTTCCTAACTCGGCTAAGAGCAGCCGATTAATCATGTACCCAATGAAATAGGACTTCTTGCTCTCCACTCCTGGGCCGGTTCCCATATGGGGTAGAACCTCCTTCCGTAGAAGCTCCTTGGCGTATAGAATTCTTTTCTCCCTAGATGCCCCAACGGTGGGTCCTCTTTTTCCGATAAAATCAAGACAAATATCCTGTGTAGGATAATCTATGCACTCCTCTAGGGTCTCCCTTAACGTGTTAATCATCATCTTGTCATTAAAGTCGTAGACAATCCTTTGGAGGATGTCCCGATCGGAAGTGCAACCCAACGCTCTGAACAAAATTCCAACGGAAATTTCGGTTCTTATATACGGCAAGGTTGCCACGAGTTGTCCTCCTGTCCTGACTGAACCCCCACCACCAGAACCCCTAGAACCCGTTTTCGTTTTCATCTTCACAGAAAAGGCAGATGTAGCTTGAGACCTCTCCATCTGAGACCTTATCTCAGCTACCCAGCCAAATTTAGAAGGCTGCTTCTTCTTAAATACATAGATAAAATTGTGAGCCATTCGCTCCTGTGCTACTAGAACCTTCTCCCCTCCGTTCACAATGAAGTATCCTCCCTGATCAAATGCACATTCACCCATATCAGCAATTTCGCTCTCTGGTAATCCTTTCGTCCAACAAAACATCGATTTCAACATCAGTGGGATTCGTCCCAAGTTAATCCGTTCATATACAAATTTTTCTTTCAAAATGGGGTTCTTTGAACCTTCTTCCACCACGTATGTACTCTGCTCAATATCTATGTATATAGCAGAGGAGTATGTTAGGTTCCTCAGCCTTGCCTCCTGAGGCCACAGGTTCTTATTGGTTAAATTTCTTTCATCGTAGAATGGCCTATCTAGGGAGAGCTGTCCAAACTTCAATGCGTACATTACGTTTTTACTATCATCTCGGTCTGAGCGGTACTGTGGCTGGGGCCTGATTTCTATCTGGGGGTGCTCATCTATTATCTCCTGCATCCGGTACTCGATAAAATCGTTGTAACTTTCGATCTGCTGATTCACCAATCCGTGGCTCCCAAAGAAGGAACCGATCACCACCCAGCTGTCTTCCTCCGTTATTCGTTCCTCTTCGTCATGGTCCTCCTCCAGCGAGCCGTCTGCGGGGAATATGGCGGTGATGTGGGGCGTACGGCGGTGATCTGGGGAATATGGCGGTGATCTGGGGAATATGGCGGTGATGTAAGGCATGCCGGCTTGAAGAATGACCACGCAGCAGTCCTCAGTGGAGGGGCCAAACGGGCAACTCCGAATGCAGAAGCGCCCCTCCGTGGAAGACCGACTCGTTGACAGCCAACTTCATAGGTGAGCATTACCTGGATGCATATATTCGCTCGAGAAGTAAGACGGTTCCATTTTCACCGCCATGTTTCAACCGCTCAAAGGGGAGGAAAAAAAAAAAAAAAAAAACTCTTATTTTACACAACTGCTCCCTCCCGGGGTTCGCAAAAAAATGGGAAGGACACCGCCCTGGTAGATGCAATTCCAAGTCAGCCAAATTGAAACGGCATCGCGACGGGAGCTCTTCCTAGGTAGTGTGGCTTATCTGTTGTCCCCTTTTTGGGAAAATTATTCCTTTTTGACTTCGCTTTTGATACGCCTTTAATGCCTTTTTTTTTTCCTTTCCTTTTTGGTTGCGCCCAAGAGGGTAATCCGAACAAGAATTTGAAGAGGAAGGAAATACCCATCCGACGGCTTCCACAACGCAATTGGGTGGTACCTGCGCGTGGTGGTAACACGTATGTCCCTCCTGAAGCAGGCCAAAATGGGACGCAGAACAGTGGCTTCTTTCGTGACACAAAGGCTCAAAAATGATACCCTCTCCTACTCTCTCTGTTCGCGTACTTTTTTTTTATTTTTTGTTCCTTCCCGTGAAATGAGAAAAGGATAAAATTTTCAGGTGGTCGAATTGAACACTGAGTTTAAGTAGGCGTACCGATTGGGGGTCGTAAAAAAAAAAACGCTACGAAAGGTATGACCGACCCCAGCTTCTGTGCAGAACCGTATTCATCCGCCATGTATACGATGCATGGGCTTCCGAAAAATTTTTGCCTATGTGCGATGCCCATGGAAAGGAGGCGTGACATTTGAAGCGGTACGTTCCTGTAGCCATACGGTGGCGGGAAATAAAAAAAAAAAAAATGCCCATCGCAATTCGCGCGAAGAGAGAATTTTAGGATGAACTCAACGTGTAAGAGCGGCGTGCAATTATAATCTCATCTGGCTGAGTCCCCTTCGGAAGAGCGTATTTCCATCGCAGCATAATCAAACCGAGTCAGCCGAGTGACGCATTATACATAACTCCACCCCCGCCGTGTCCCTGCCCTGTTTCTTTTACTGCATTTGTGTGAAGTTCCCCTAAGCAGCGAAAGAACGTATCGGCAAAACATAAGCAAGAAAAAAAAAAAAAAAAACAAACTAGTACTTTCGGGCGAAGCAAAACAAAACAGATTGCAATAAAATTGCTTTATGGAAAGACTGAAGCAGCAACACAAAGGGCAGAGCATTCGAGCAGCCTGCTGGCAACAATTTTGTAAATGATGCCTTCCCAGCTGGAGCAAAACCGGAAAATGCAAACATATACAAAATAATCTTTGAGGAGGCAAATATAAGAAGTGTGAATGTTTGTGTAACTCTGAGGACAGCAAGGACAGGACAGCAGCCCCTCCTTATCTTTTTTTTTTTTTTCTTTTCCATTTGCCACGAAATGAACGCCTACGCAAAAGTACCATGAGTCATACACATTAGAGGAAAGTATGGACATAAGCCAGAGCAAAGGAAAAAAAAGAAAACAAAAAAAGAAATCGCACAGAAGTTTATAATTACCTCAGTGGCACAGATATACGTATGCATATGTATGCTTTACTGCATACGATTAACCTCCGCATGAGTTATGTGGACAACACAAGACTGAGAGCAACCCACCAGTTTGATGAGATGGTTTCCTCCTTTTGGCGCTAATCTGGTCTTCACCCCCTCCTCATCCTACTTCACCCTCCTCATTTTTTTTTCGTTTTTCCCCCTTATTGGAAATCGTCACGTCCTTGTTCTTCCCACACGCATGCCAGCCCCTGAATACTAGCCCACACCTCAACCCCTCCCCCAAAAATGGATAAACAAGCAATCAAGAGAAGAAACAGACTGCTTAAAAAAAATGAAGCTCGGATGAGCCTTCTGCTGGGGAAGTCGGAAGAGGGCGATGTAGAGAAGGACGCAGAGGGCAAAAAGAAAGCGGGGGAATTGAAGCCAAAACGGAATGAAGTAACTCAAGAGGAGGGACACGATGGAGGGGAGAAGAAGCTACCCTCCACGGGGAAAAACGCACCTTCGGAAATGGACCAAATGGCAACACCGAGTAATTCACCAGCACAGGCTAGCATCGCCGACTGCGATCAGCACACAGAAGGCAGTTCCAACCAACAGGGGGACCCCACGAGTGGAAATGAACAAACCCCGGAGGGGAAGAAAAAAGAGGGGAAAGACCCCACCGGGGAGGAGAAGCAAAGATCCGACCCAGAAACGAGCCAAAAGAGGAGCCAAAATGAGGGCCAAAAGGGGGACCAAAAGGGCGAAATAAAAAATGGAGCAAAAAAAAAACGAATAAGCAATCACGCAGGTCATAAATCAGATAGCGGCCGAGACGACTATACCAATGTGGACGATATAAATAACCCCAGTGAAAGCAACAGCGGAAAATCAGAGGGGAAAGGTAAAGAAGAAGCCTCAATTGGAACCCCCCAATTTAAGTTGTCCATCCGCAGACTGGCCCAATTCGCATCCCTAATATTTCTCTCCACACTTCTAAGCATCGTGAAAATAAAATATTGTGACTACAATCCGCTGCCGATGAGCATAGAGCCCATGGGAAAAAAAAAAAAACTGCAACGTTTCATAAGCTCCAAGTTTGTTTTTTTTTTCCTCTCCCTTTTTTACAACATGGCATTTTCGCTAATTGATGTGTATGCCTATTTTGTAAAACACAACTTGAGTCAGAAGGAGCTCTGGAAGAATCTACAGAACTTACGGGAGAGGCTGACTAGCCAATCTGAATGTCTTTTGTTTCTCCTAAATAATGGCACGACGGTTGCTTTTTTTTTTGTGAATGTCGTAAAAACATACTTGCTGCTAATGTTTTTAACTCATTTGTTTGATGACCTTTTGTACAACTTCACCGTTCGCAAGACTTGGGCGAGTGTTCCCCTCCCCGCGTCGTAGGTGCGCCGCAGTGGGCTTGTCTCTCTCCTTGCTATATACCTTGCCAGTCTGCCTTAATAATCTGCCCCTTTCACCATCTTCCTTTTATTATCTGTCATTTGTTATCTGCCAGTTGGTATATGCCATCGGCCATCCAACACGCACCATCCATCATATATACCGTCCGTCACCCACCTTCTGCGCACCTTCGCCCGCGCCGCCACACGGAAGGAAGCGATTTCTTCTGCGCCCACCATGTGTCAATATACTTTCCCATTTCAACCAAATGGCCACACGTTTTTTATGAAGCCAAGTATTTTGCGAAAGTCTTGCCTATTCTGCATCCCACATCTACAATATTTTAAAATGCAAAAATTTTCCCTAATTCTCGCTAATTCTTCCTAATTCCCACTCATTTGTCTTTAAATTTTTTTTTTTTTCTCATCCAACTTGTTAGCCCAAAAAATTATGCCCATAAAAAAAAGTATGAACTGTTCAAGTAAAAATGCGCCATTGGGGGATCATCCGAAAAATGAAGAAAAATAAAATAAAGCTAAATAAATCAGAACGAAGCAAAACAGAGCAAAATGAAGCAAAATAAAATAACCATTTGGAGTTTTCTCCCAGATGGGTAACCCCTGCGCAAAGGGGGTGAACTACAGCGGTGGACCACGCACACGTCTGCTCATATGGCTACGCGCGGGGAGGCTACAAATCTTATCAACGTGTAGGAGCGTAGGTGGCAAAGAAACAGAACAAACATACACAAAACAACGGGACGCAAAAAATGGCGCGCGCGGCCGGCGATTAACTGCACACACTCGGGGGGGGAGAGATACAGACGCTAGCGCGACACAGCCCCGCGGCCACCCCTCGCTAAGCGGGTCGGGACTCCTTCCCCTTGATCTCGTGAAACTTATGCGCAATGGCCTCGTGGTAGACATAAGCCTTGCTGCGTCTGTACTTCTCGAACACATCATTCTCGCCCGGGTCTGGCATCCCGGCGGAGTAAAAATCAAAGTTGGATGCCCCCGGGTTGCTTTCCTCATTCCAATTTTGCGCATTTTCGATGCCTATTTGACTGAAGTTGACGTCCTTGCTTTTTTTATTTTTCCTATGCTTGTCATCGCTGTCGTTTAGCATCTCAATCATGGAGCTATCAAACAACTCGACGGACGAAAAGGTCGTGTTCGTGTCACTGGAGTTGTTTCTTTGCACCTTCTCATTCCTGCCCAAACTTTTCAGCGCCTTATAATTTTCACTCATCTTCATCCTTTCACTCGAATCGGATGAATCGCTACTTTCGCCACTTACTCCACCCTCCTCCTTCATGATGTTCCCCAACTCATCGTAAAAGTCGTTTATCTTCTGAGTCAGCTGTTCAGACGTGCTTGTGGATGGCGGGGTTTGGTAAGTGTACGAGATGTCTATGGGTGTATAAGGCACCAGCGGAATCTGGAGCCTTTTCCCCTTCCTGGAAATCAATTTTAATAACGTAGCTAAGAACCCTACTGAAATGGTTTCGGGGTCTTTACTTCGGTTCTTTTCTCCCTCCCACGGCTGATGATTAAAGTACTTCTTCCTCCCTTCATCAGGGAAGAAATCTTTTTTTTTGTATTTATCAAATGGTTTGTTACTACCCTTGGGGAAGTCATTTGATGGGAGAAGAGGTGGAGGGGGAGGGGGAGGAGGAGGAAGATGCTGCTGATGATGATGAAGGGGCGTGGTAGGGGGATGATGATGATCAAGGAGCGTCATAGGCGGCTCTGGAATCTTCCTTCCGTTGAAATAGCCCATATATCCATACTTCCCTCTCTGAAAATCGATAGCATATCTCTGAGTGCGGTTATCGATATAGCCCTGCTCACTATGAGGGGCGCCCCCCATGCCCCCGTTTGGGCTCATGGGTGACTGGTCTGGTATTCCCTGGTGATACGAATCGATGTGGCTTCGTCCATCTCCCCAAGCGGAGACACTATTACTATCAGCCGCATTATCCCCATTAGCACTGTCACTGTGAAACACACTTAGCAGCATCTTCGTCTCATTAAAATTGGTGACGTGCAATTCCTTCCAGGAGTACACCATCTGCAAAAGGATATTTATGGCTCCCTGATCTTTGTAGTAAGCACAAGTATAGCCATCCTGGACAATCGAATGGATATAAAATTTGAATTCTTCCAACTCTTTACTCCTTCCATTCAGCATCAGACATTTAAGGAGTTCACCGTAGGAACAGATCAAATTTAACTTGTTCCTAAAAAATACACACTTCAATATCCTCTGATAAAATTCGGTCGCAATAGACTTACTCAAATTTGAAGTGAAGCATTTTTCCAGCATCCACTGGTTCAACACCTGTCTGCTATCTGTTGTCGATTCTTCGCATTGCCTGAGTAATTCTCCTAAGTGTCTTTCGTCCTCTGCGTTCATCTTTTGTGCTTCTGCAGGGGAAGTGCCATCGGTTTGGTCCATCATATTTGTACTAACCCCACCGTAATTACGCGTGTAACTGTACATGCCGCTACTCCTTCCCTCCTCATAGGTATTCTTCTTCCACCCCCCATAAGGATTGCTCTCCTTTTGGGGGTTGTAACTCCCTTCTGAGTTTCCCCCCCCAATTGGATTATCCCGACTCTGCGAAAAATTTTTTCCTCCTCCCCAGTTGCCTTGGTCCCTCCTCGGCTGTTCGTCGCCGTTACCGCGGGGGCGGCGTCGACTTTGACTCCGACGTTGACTTCGGATTTGACTTCGGCTCTGACTTCGGCTCTGACTTCGGCTCTGACTTCGGCTCTGACTTCGGCTTTGACTTCGGCTTTGACTTCTACCTCGACTCTGTGTTCGACTCTGACTTCCACTTCGACTATGGCTATAGTTACTTCCGAGGCTATTGCGACCACCCACACCACTCCTACCGCTGCTGCTTCGCCTGCCACTGCCGCTTCGCCGGCCGCCGCCCCCACTGATACTCCTGTCGCTGTCGCCATACTTACTCCTCACCCCCCGGCTGCCCCTGTCATCATTTGCATTCCTGCTCCTATTCCTCCTGTGGTTTCGGGTCTTGCGACTCATTGGAACAGTCTCTACCCTTTTTTTCCTTGTCGATAGGGTTGAAAATGCGGAGGGCCGCACGATATTTCCCCCTTTGAGTAAGACTGCACTCAGAAGGGGCTATGACAGAGTCAATAGAGTAATGTCCTGTAGGTGCACAAAGCAATCTTATCTTCTGTAAATAGAGGCGTCCCTCTAACGGGATGGATCCAAGGTCAGAGCGTCTTGTCTCTCTGTTGTGTGGCTTGTAGGGCAGGGCGCCTAAAGGACCTCACAGGTTAACCGCTTAGCAAACGCCCCCATGGATACTGGGTGACTTCCTACTTCACCTTCCACGTGCGCAGCATAAAAGGGCCTACCTTACAAGCCTATCATGAGCGCAAAAGCATATGTTGCACCGAAGGGGGGCAATTCTATCACTTCAACATCTGTGGGCGAGTTTCCCCCCCGCCATTTTGGGAGGCGGTGTTCAAAAATGGGCTACTCGGCGGAATCTTTTTTTAAATAAAATACGTGTTAGTGAAGCTTGGCACTTGGTGTGGAGGAGAAGAAGAGGAAGGAGAAGATTAAAAAAAAAAAAAAATAGTCTTCCTTTTTCGCTTCCCTTTTATCTCATCCTTTTAAGCACTTCTTTGGGCCATTTTTCCCGCCTTTTGGGGGACTCCCCTTATATCTGACGACGCGGGTGCCTCCTGCCTATTCCGTGGCCATCCCGTTTGGCAAATTCCCCGTGCGCTGGGCAATGCTTGTAAAAAAAAAAAAAAGTATAGCGGAATGGCGAAGTGGCCAAATAGCCAACTGATGGGAAACCATCTGACGAGCATTACGCAAAAATCACGCGAACGAGAGATTGTCAAGAGGAGAACAATTTTGACCTGCTTGTTTTTAATTTTTAAGCCTCCACAGAGCCCCCCCTTTATTTATTTTTTTTTTCGACACGAGCAGGTACATATAAAGAGCTATTCATTCGTATGCGCATGCCTCGTATAGGGGCCACCGCGCAACTTTTGCGAACGCCTATCTGTCGTGCCGACCGACCGTTGATGATACAAGCCTGCGCCACTTTCGCAGCTTTCACTGTGCCCACGGGCGGTTACTCCGGGTGAGAGGAGAAGAACCCCCCGTCGTATTCCTGCCCGCTTCGTACCACCTTAACGCATCTCCCCATCCAGACTTTTTTGTTTCGAAAAAAAAAACGTGAAAATTATAGAACGGGACCTACTGAACGGTGCATAATTAATTTGCCCACCACGACCGTTACAAGTGTAACGGATGAGCGAAGACGAGGTTGTGTCTATTTGGGCCCCAGCCCGTTCGGCCTTGTTAACTGTAAATGGTCGCATCCATGGGGGTATCATCCTGGTGAATGTATTTTTATACTTTCCACCTTGTCGCCTTCTCCCTCCTTTTTGCATCTCCCCTTCATTTTAAAAAATGAGGAGAGAGAGACAAAGAGACAGAAAAACAAAGAGACAGGAAAACGAACAGGCAGACTAACAAACAGAAGCAGACAGTCAGAGAGACAGAGACCGAGGCAAAGAAATGACTCATCTGGGGGAGACCCCCCAAAAGGGTATCTTCCCCCAGTGAGCATATACATATGCACTGTGTTCCCCTACCTTCAACACGCACACGAATCCTCGCAACAGATGCTGCCATTCGGAAGACAGCGTACGCTGTGAAGTGCCACCCATACACACACCTTCAGAGAGGTTGGCTCTCCCATCAATGGAGCTTTCCCTAAGTTAGTAACAAAACATTAGCACATCGCAATGATGCACATACGAGTGATGTTATCTTTTTCTGCCTTCCGCGCTGAGGAGTTCCCCTTTGATAACCCCGAAATGAAATTGTACCCAGTGGCAACGTGCACGGCGCCATCGGGTGTATTCCCTCTTCCCCTTTCACAAAACTAAAGACATTTCATTTCATCCCTACGACCATAATTAAACACACTGATCCGTTTTTAATTTGAATTTTGTGACTGCACGAGGGAGCCTCTCCCAAGTCATTCTTCATCTAGATTAGATACTTTCCTTTTTTGTTTAAAGCCGCTACTTAGGTTGGTTCCCCCAGGAGGGTCTTTCTATTTGCTCCACCTGTAATGAACACAGCATCGACGTGGTTACGCCGATTTATTTTATTTTTATTTTATTTTTATTTTATTCTTTTTTGTGTGTGTGCGTGTATGTGCTATCCTTCCAGTCGAATTTGCACTTTTTGCACTTGAGAAAGGAGAGGCCTCCCATTCGTCTGTACTGTTTCCATTTATGCAATTCTTTAACCCCATCGTGACGTAGGTCTCACTCAGCCGCCACCACCAGCACAAACACCTAACGTCAGTACTACCCCCGCACGAGGAAGGTGTCCTCACCGAATTCTCCTCTTTTCAGTGAAATCCAAAATGGGGAAAAAAGAGAAGAGAAAAAAAATGCAGAACATGAATGAGCATCACTTGGCCGATTTAGAAGAAGGATCGGGGGGGACTCCCAACAAGAGGAACAACCCAGAAAAGGAGCCCCCCTCAAAGGGGAAGACAAATAAAGAAGTCCAGCGACGAGGCCCTCCACCGCATTCGCCGCGGCGGTGTCAGAAGGGAGGTACCGTCGATCCGGAGGGAGGCGACAGCGTGAGTGGTAATGGCGGAGTGAGTGATGGCCCAGAGAATGGTCGCGGCGTGAATAGCAAGGGGGTGAACCCAGAACAGGAAGAACCGCCCCCTGGGGGGCTTCAAAGGGGAAGCTGCCAGACGGGCGCCACCGTCAGTCAGAGAGATGACCCCAACGAGAATGACCCCCGCAGTGGTTCCAATGAGAATACAGGTGCAGTCGCGTCACAGGTGCGGAGCCAGGTGAGCCACGGGGAGGTACCTAGCAAGGGGGAGGCGCTGGTGGGTGGAGAAACACCAGGTGAGGACAATTCTATCGAAGAAGCACCCAGTGAAGTGACAAGCGAAGAGAACCCGTCCGAGGAAAAATCATCCGAGGAAAATTCGTCGGAGGAAAATTCGTCGGAGGGAAAGCCGTCGGAGGGAAAGCCGTCGGAGGGAAAGCCGTCGGAGGAAAATCCGTCGGAGGGAAAGCCGTCGGAGGAAAATCCGTCGGAGGGAAAGCCGTCGGAGGGAAAGCCGTCGGAGGAAAATCCGTCCGAGGAAAATCCGTCCGAGGAAAATCCATCGAGGGAAAATCCATTGCCGGAAAAACCGCCGGGGGAAAAACTGCCTCGGGAAGAACCATCGAAGAGCGAGCAAAACCGAGGCAGCCTCGCACACAGGTCCACCAAGTCCGACAGCACGAACACCGTGAGCAGCGACCTAATAAAAATAAGCCAGAAGAGCGAGGAGTGGGAGCAACCAAAGAAATGGAGCTTCTCCCTTCTCCTCACAAATATAAAATCCATGGTACTGACAAACTACATTTATGTAGCCAAGAGATGCGGCATCCCCAACCAGCCCAACAAACCAGGACCAGTGCTTGCCATCAGTGTAGAAAAAGAAAACACAAATGAAGTGAAAAACATTATCGTGCAAACCCCATGCGCGTACGAAAAGTATACACTGAAAGGAAAATTAATTCAACACAAGACGCTGTACCCTTGTACAGTCACCTGTATGATGTATGGCAGCATCGGAGGAATCGGGAAGACGGTCATTTTAGGCCTGCAAAATGGGTTCATACTGGTTTATAAGAGCATTGAATTTGAGTGCATCCTCAAATTGAATACAAAGGAATGTCTGGAGAAATATCTTAAGAGCTCTTCTGCTTCGTCTGCTATGAAGCGTTTTAATAATACCCACGTGAAGAGTGCCCTGATGGATAGGTATAGTGGGACGAATGTACAGAAACAGTCGGGTAACTTTGGCACTCGCGGTGGTAATACGAACGATGGAGAAGACTACAACGATCTGTCCTATCAGATTTCCGGACTCTCCGTCAAGTCCACCTTTGCCAATTTTATCCACTGGATCATCGCGGGGAACATGCAGGGCTACATCTTCGTGTGGGAGGTTCCCAGTGGGAACATCATCAAGATTCTTATGCATCCGCACCACCTCTTCGGCCATGTAAAGGGGGGCTCGCGCGACAGCGATGATGGGAGTGGTAGCAGTGATGATGGGAGTGGTAGCAGCGATGATGGGAGTGGTAGCAGTGATGATGGGAGTGGTAGCAGCGATGATGGGAGTGATGGAAGTGATGATGGGAGTGGTAGCAGTGATGATGGGAGTGGTAGCAGTGATGATCGGAGTGGTAGCAGCGATGATGGGAGTGGTAGCAGCGATGATAGCAGTGACAATTTCCATCGCGCAGGCCGCACCAATAATCGTCCAGGAAAGCGAAAAAAGAAAAAGAAGAAGAAAAAGAGAAAAAACATCCCAAAACGCAGCAACGGTGGGGGGGGTCAGCAGGAGCAGGAGGAAAAACAAGACCAAGACGAAGTAGAAGACGAAGCAGACTCCTTCACCCTCGAAGACGACGACTCCTGCAGCAAGCCGGACTATGAAGAAAACTCCAGCGACTTCCCCGGCGGCAGCTACTTGAGCGACTCGGACGAGTATTGCAACTCCACCGATCAAGACAACGGCAGAAGAGGGGGTGGCGCCGCCGCCATAGGAATATTACGTTCGAGGGGAAAGAAAAGAAAAAAAAAAAAAAAACAAAAAAAAAAAAAAAAAAAAAACAGAAAAGAGAAAAATATGCCAAACAAATGCTACGTATCAGCCATATTAGCAGTCACGCATAAATACGAACTGTGGGTCGCATTCGGAAGTGGATATATAGCCGTGTACGATTTATATGACTTCCAGTTGCTTCTCTACACCTGCATATCCAAAAGCCCCATCATGGACTTAAAGTACTCCAAGCTCTTGGAAGACGTCTTTTTACTAATAGGCAATAATTACATTTCTGTATGGGACACAAAAACGCTCAAGCAGATTAAGAAGCTCCCCACGAGCCACGTCACGAAAACGTCTTCCCTGTCTACTTTATACCTTCTAGAACGTCCAACTGTTTGGAAAAACAGGAAAATCGTTTTGATTGCCGGTTGTAATGATGGATCCATCTCGGTGACAAATGTTACGAAGAAGTTGGATGGAGATTTGACCTTTTCTTATGTCCGGACATATGAGAAACACTTCGAGCCTTATGTCCCCATCAGTTACATCTGCATCCACCCCAGTATCAATGCGGCCTTCGTCGGGGACGCCAGTGGCGTCGTCTTTACGCTCCCCAGAATTCTGAACACGCTCAAGCACGACGATGCGCAAAGGTGAAGCGAAGCGGAAGCGCGTTAAACGTGGCTGCAGGAGTGGCGCGGCTGCTGGATTGGAGCGGCTTCTCGATTTGCGCAGCTGCTCGATTGCTACGTCTCCTACACTGGCGTGACCCCCCAGCTGTTGCTGCTGCTGGTGCCACTTCTGGGGTAATACCCTCCCCCTTTTTTTCTTTTTTTTTTTTGTAAAACGCCATTTTAAATATAACCAAAGTACAAACCGTTTTGAACGTAATTGTGTTTGGATCCACCAAGTGGATGCACAAGTGACTGTTAAGGAGAGCCATGAGGGGGCCCAATTCTGCTATGCCCCTCTGCCTCGCTGCTGTAACGATGGACGCAGTGCTCCCCCAAGGGAAGCGACGGGACTACCTCCCCTGGGGTTATATCCCAGAGAATTGCTTTGCTAAGCGGAAAAAAAGAAAAGAAAAAGAAAAAAACGAGAAAGCGCTCCTTCCCTATAGTGTTACCAAGCGGATTGCACCAAACGGATTGCTCCGCTCATATCGTTACAATTCCCGCCCCAAAATTCTTAAAGGCCAAATATTCGGGTTCAAGACGCAGCAGAGGCATGTGCAGAAATGGTCGTCTCTGTGTGGTGATAAACACCAAAAAGGGCACATGCATAGAGACACAAAAAAAAGAGGTGAATTAAAGCATTCCTTCCGGTTTCCCCTCTCGGCCAATTCGTATGAGTGCGACGGGATGCACCACTTAAATCTCGAAAACAGTTGAAGGCGAATGCGGAGGTGGTTAGGTGGCTCGATGGAGCCGACGCGCCCGAGTGACTACCCCTCAAGCGAGTCATTCGCAAGAGCCACCGTAGAGCAAAGGGAAGAGTGGCAGCAGAAACGACGATGCTGACGCTGGCGACAACAACGACGATGCTAACGCTGGCAGCAGAAACGACGATGCTACCTTTGTTAAGCGCCTCCATGGCCCCAGCACGGTAGCTCCACTCAAGAAAAGTGCCACTCCACGGTTTACACTAAATGGAGAATGGACTCCTCTACCGCTAAGGTGACCCTACCCCCTTTGCCATCCTCATATCCAACATCTTATAATCCCTGTGATGACTTAATTGGTGCATAAGGTTAACCTCACACATCTTGAGGTAGTCCATATCGTAGTTCTTGTTACCCTCCTGCTTCACCACCAGGAGAAGTTTTCTCAGCTGCTTTTGTCTGTTGTTCCTCTCCTGAAATGTGCTTCTCCTTTCCTGGCTTAGGTCCTTTAAATATTCATTCCTTTTATCCATCCAGAGATTAAACTTCTTCTCCACCTTCGCCTTAAGTTGTACTTTACCCTGTAGTTGCTCCTCCATTTTGTTCACTTCTTCTTCGAGATTGTCACGTTCTAGCTTGTGCATCTTCGTGCTCTCCTTCAGTAGCTTCAGCTTTCCTTCCAGCTTAGAGCTAAACTGCTCCTTGTATTTGCATTCGCTTCTCTGCATACTTAGTTTCTTAACATTGTTGCAAAGATGCCACTGCAATAGGTCCCTTTGTTTTTGCAGCAGGTTCAGCTGCTTTTTTAGGGCCGCATGTTGCTCTTCTTCCTTTCTCAGTAAGTTTTGCAACTCACCGTAATTTTCCACCAATTTGGGATCCTCCTTGTTATTCCCATTGGGATGATTCACACCCCGCTCATAGGTTATCCCATTCGAGTGCAGCATCCCCTTTGAATCCAGGTAGCGCAGCTTCTTGGCATTCTTCCCCCTCATTCTGTAGACGAAAGGGCCGTCAGACGGGGCTGCTCAATCTAGGGAAAAACAAACACAGGGAAATTATACAGACGAGGGTGAACACGGCGATTCCGACAATGGGGTAACAAACCGTGTAAGCAGGAAAAAAAAAAAAAAAAAAAAGGACGCTGTGGAATGTGAAGCCCCCTTTTCCTGCTTCAAACCGAAGGATACGTTTTCGGAAAGAAAAAAGATTAACTCATCTACCTTTTGCTAGGGGCGTCCAACACACACACCACTCTCATTTCAACGACGTTAGCGTGGTTTGTAGGGGTCCAACGCAGGCAAGTACAAAAGGGGGTATCCGTTCAATGCGCAAGGAAATGGAGGCAGATTGTTCATTACGTCTATTTAAAAAGGGGAGTAACGTTTTATGTTAGAGAACTAAGCAAAAACGCATTCGATTATTCACTAATGTCGCGTTTCTTTACTTCGGGATTCACTGCGCATAGTTGGCGAAAAAGAAATGCAAAATAGTTCTTTCACTTTCGGTCACGAGCAACGGTTATTACTTACTAGCCTTATTCTCACGTCCGATTGTTTTATCTTCACATTGGCGGAATAGTTTTGCACACAATTTTGCGTAAAATAGCTATGTTCTTTTTTTTTCTTTTTTATAAAGGTAACCTGAACTGTTCATATTTCTTGCCATAATATAGCTATTTTTTTTTTTTTTCCAAGTTGGCTAAACTGTTCATATTTTTTAAAGCAAAATAAGGCCTTTTTTTTTCTCCTTTTTTAACTAGCCAAAAAGGGGAATACCAATTTTGAACAGAACCATTCTTGGTGCTGCTCAAGGGTCTAATGAGAATAGAAGTGGACAATTTTTTCTTAAGTTCGAAGAAAGATAAGAAAGATCTACAGAGCGAATTAGGAAAGAACCTACCCAATGGTGTAAATCTCAGGGGGGGTTAGACACATAGATAGAGCGTGCAACTGTCGAAGCTTTTTTTTGCCGCTTGTGCGGGGCAACACTCGTTGGAACTGCCTTGTGCACACAAAGAAGGAAAAAGTATATGTCGCTTTAACTGAACAAGTTTTTGTTCACTTGCACAGAACGGAAGTGATAGTAGCTACACCGTACCTGCCTCTGTGGGGATTGTCCCACAGAGGCACCCCATCTGCACACCATTTGGCCATCTTATAAAACGAGTGGTCGCCGTCAGTGTCCTCCACCAGTGGAATGTGCCTCATGTGTGATTCTTCATTTAACGCGGCAAATTAGTTTTATAATGACAGTGTTCACAACGATGTCTGCGCAGGAAATATGCTTTCCGCCAATTTGTACACCCGTTTTGTCCCTGCAGCACAGCGAGCTGGTGGAATGGATCGAAGCCTCGCAGGGGGTTTTGCTGCAGCGTAGTGTCACACTACGTATGCATCGATTCGTGCGCATAACTGCGCCTTTATGGAATAACTCCCCTGGCGGTTATATCCTTTCCGACGAGGCTGACCACAAAGCTGCGCGGACTTCATTCCCTTTTGACAGGGCCACAAAAGGATAGAATGATCGTCAAATTTTAAATAGAAACAGTTCCCCCTGTGTGTTTCTCCATCCTCTTTAATTACTTTGTGCGTCATTATTTTGTTCGTTCGTCTGTTCGTTCATATGTTTGTTTGTTTGTTTATTTTTTTCAACTTCGCGTACGCAAACGTCTGTTGGTTCTCCCTCTGTCTGCGTTAAGTTAAATTTTGTGTTCGCGCGTTTGGCTATGTACACTCGCTTTGGTATGAAGTGAAATTAAGTGATATGAAGTGAAATGAAATGAAGTGATATGAAGTGACATGAAGTAAGATGAAGTGGAATGAAGTAATATAAAATGAAATGAGGTGATATGAAGTTAATTTTTTTTTCTTCCCATTTTCTTTCTTTCCTTGCCTTTCTAATTTCTTCGCCTTTTCTTCGCCTTTTCTTTGCCTTTTCTTCGCCTTTTCTTTGCCTTTTCTTCGCCTTTTCTTTGCCTTTTCTTTCCCTTTTCTTTGTCCTTCCTTCCCATTTTGTCGGCCACTTGGCCTACCATTTTTCTTCCGCCCGTGTGCCCCCTGTTCTCACTTTTCTTAACATGATTGCGCAGGGGGACGCCCCTTCCTCTGCTTTTCCGCATCTTCGCTCCACCCAAACTGATGGCCGCCCCGTCGCGCGTTCAAAATGAGCGTATCGAAACGGAAGTGAAGCGCGTCGAAGCTGAGTGATATGCATTATGCGTAGGTACTTGTACATGTGGATATGCACGCGTATGCATAGGGCTAAGCGTCGAGGTACACGCAGAGGTACATGTACAGGCACACATAGGAGCATATCTACGCGCCTATGTACACGCACCCTGTACCTTTGCGCGCCGAGCACACAAGGCTCATTCGTCAACGTGCCCATACGTGAACGTACACCTACAAACGTGTAATCGTCGAGGCAAACGCGGAGAAAAGCAAGTGTGCATGTAACCAAGCCCCAGAATAATAATGCCTTGTTTTCTGTCTATTATGTATAATGGGGATAATTGGCTCTTCGTTAGCTAGCAACATAGAAGATGACCATCGCACTGATCGCCATGTAAGTCTACAGATACGGTTTGCTCGCATTCATCACTACCCCTATCGTGTGTGGGGGGTGGAAGCTCCACTTGGGAATCGCTTCTGCATCCGTTCTGTGAGAAAGTGCTATGTGAGAAAGCGTCTTTGAAGTGCCCACGAAGAGGCATGCACAAATGAAGCCATGTTTCGCTTTTATATGTGTGGCAACGGATAGAGACACGTCTACAATGTGGCGACTCTGTCATGTTTACTAATTAACCCCCCTTATTTCTACGCCTCCCTTTTTTTCCCCCTTTTTTGAAACAACAGCCCCGATCGATTTCGTTCAGCCCGTCCATAATCAACGTAAGTGCAGATGAGTTAAATTTGTGAAGAAGGGTATGCCGGAAGGAGAGGACCCCCGATTCGCTGTGTTGAGTAATTCCGCAGGAGGCTCCTCTTCCCGTTGAAGCGGTTCATCAGGTGTATGACTCCCCCGGGTCAAACACGCGATCTTTTCCTCCTCCCCCTCATCGCAGCGAACCGATAATGATAATCTCTACGATCTAATCTCTCAAGGACCCAACATAAACATCCAGAGGACGTCGGTTGTGAGGAACTCCGTGAACCTCCGTCGAAAAACATTGAAAATTATTAACCATGGAAATAATGTCTACCTGATAAACTTCATTTTTGACGCCTTGTACGATGTGGAGATATCTATATATTTTTGTTGCAAGGAGGAGTTTGCGGAAAACCGGGAGGCGTTGTAAGTGTTTTTCCTCAGGGGTATTCCCCTGCGGCTGAGGATGGGAGAAAACCCTCCTTCACTGCAACGCGCAGTTTGTTGGATTGCTCAGTATTGACCCCCGCTTGGTGTATTTTATTTTTTTATTTTTTTTATTTTTTATTTTTTTTTTTCTTTTTTCTTTCCCACCCCTGGGCACAGCTACACACCCACGAAGTACCCCACAGTGACCAACATATACGCGAAGGAAATAAACCAGATTTACATGAGCAGCCCGAGTGACGCCATCAATTTGAATTTGTTCGATGTGAATGATCTGAAATGCAAGCCCAGTTACGAGTACATCATCCCCATTTTGATTGTGCTAAGAGCACTCGGCGCGCCCATTCCACAGGCACAATACAACTTTGCCTACCTGCAAGAGGAGGACGGCAAGGACAGCGTCCACTGCTCGGACAAGTACAAACTTGTGCTTTATAAACAGAAGATTCAGTTTGGCAATCGGTACTTCGAGGTGCAGGAGATTTTCGGCATCGAGAAGTCCAAGGCACCACAACCCGACGCCGTGAGCAACTTCCTCTCTGGCAGGTGAGTTCGCGCGTGGATACGTGGTACGCGCGCATAAGCGCGTTGCTGATTTGGACGACGTTTATTTTGCGGCCCACTTTGCTGCCATTTTCTTGCCCCCCTTGCGTAGAGAGTGCGTGATATGCCTGACGGAGGAGAGGGACACCGCCATACTGCCCTGTAGACACATGTGCCTATGCAACGTGGTAATTGGAGTGGACTCCCCGCGCGGGCAGGCAGCTATGCCTGCACAGGAGTTCGCAGCGAAGTGCACTGTGTATTTGTTTTTATTTCATTTTATTTTTATTTCATTTTATTTTTATTTCATTTTATTCTTATTTCATTTTATTCTTATTTCATTTTATTCTTATTTCATTTTATTCTTATTTCATTTTATTCTTATTTCATTTTATTCTATTTCATTTTGTTTTATTTCCACCCTGCAGTGCGCAAACGTGGTTAGAATGCAAAACACCAAGTGCCCCATTTGCCGACAAGGTAAGACAGATCTATGCCCCCGACGCCCGCACGTCCAGCCACTGGGGAGAGGCCAAACCGAACGAGCCAAACGGAACGAGCCAAACGGAACGAGCCAAACAGGAATCAGTCGATTCATTTGTAGTGACCCGCCCCCAACCATTGCCCCTCATTTTTAACGCTTCCTTTGTAGACGTCCGAGGTCTGTTGCAAATCAACATAGACAACAAGCGAGACATCGTGCCAGAGGGAAGGACCACAATATGAGCAAGCGGACATACACATGGGCAGGTGAGCACACATGTGAACAAACCCGCATATCAGTACCTTTTTAATCCCCGCTTTAACGCATCCACGTGTGCAAACACGACGCTTTTAAATTTTAAGCTAATTCTTTTTTTTTAAGTTATTTCTGTGGCTTGTTTGTTTGCTTGTTTTTTTTTTCTTTTTATTGACAGTAAAATGTGCACGTGCTTTTTTCAACCCTATTGGGATGAAACGCAACGGCAATTATAAATGAGTTCGACTGTCCCCTTGGAGGGAATTTTCCCTAAGAGCCATGTTATGGAAGTTTGTAATTGCGTGCTTCCGAGGCTACCTTTGCCATGACTGGACTTACCCCACCGTTGGGCATCACCCAAATGATGCCTCTACACAAATCTTCTGCTAATTTTGTGGTATAGCCAAACAGGGTGTCCCGCCCAAGGAGAAAAAAAAAAAGGAACGACGAAATAATATTACCTAACCGGGGAAAGTCATCTTATCCGCGTGTGAACAGCGCTTCGCTTCGCTGATGAAACGCGCAAGGCTTTCGGAAATACTCATTTAGTGGGGAAACATGAAAAACAGGTGATAGTCTCTCGTGGGGTGTGTGTCTCATTACGCCTTCTGTAGTGACGGCGATTGGTGGTTCTTCCTTCCCTGCCCAGTTTTGTTGACCCTTTTTGTAACTTACGATCGTGTATATGTATCCATATGCTAACTATGCAGCGTCGGGTGGAGGCCGGTAGCGAACTGATGCAAAAAGAGGTGGCTCGCCGTCAAGAGAAGATAAAACGCCCCTGCTGCTGCGTCGCACCCATATTCTCGTGCAAAACGACGCAGTTGTAATCATCATCCGTAAAAAAAAAAAAGAGAAAAAAAAAATCGAATCAGCGAGAACAAAAAATCAACATGATTGCACGGCGAAATAATATATCTGAAGTGGTCAAGCCACCCCCTTCCCCTCCACTTTGCCACTCGCGCGGGTGTTCACAAGACGTATGCTAGACCCCCCGTTGGGCGACAACAAAAAGGGGAGTAGTAAAAAGCTGTGCACAGTGCAAAAACATTGAAAATGCTTCCGCAAAGGAAATCGAACAGAAAAAAAAAATAATAAATAAATAAACAAATAAATAAAGTAAAATGAAGAAAAATAAAACAAACAAAATATCAAGTGACATTCGTATAAGAT